TTGCCTGCCTAAATATCTTCTTTGGTGAAGTGTCTGTTCATGTCTTCTGTCCATTTTTTAATTGTATTGTTTGTCTTTTTGATGGTGAGGTGTTGGAGTTTTCTAAACATTTTACAGATAAGTCCCTTGTCAGATATGTCATTGCTGAATATTTTCCCCAATATTTAGGTTCCCTTTTTACTCTTTTGGAGAAGTCTTTTGATATATATAAACATTTTAATTTTTAGAAGGTCCCAGTCATCTAGGTTATCTTGTGCAGTTTGTCCATTTTCACTTGTGTTTGGTATTCTATTAATACCATGTATCAGGGTCTGTAAGTTTGCCCCTATTTTTCCTTTGATGAACATTATAGTTTTCCACTGCCATTGAGTTGATTCTTATGATTCCGATTCATAATGACCCTCATTGAGTGTCCAAGGCAGTAAATCTTTATGGAAATAGATTGCTTCATCTTACTTGTGCAGAGCAGCTGATGGGTTTGAACTGCCATCCTACTGGTTAGCAGTCAAATGCCTTAGGCACTGGGCCACCAGAACTCCTTTTACAGTTTCAGGTTTTACATTTAAGTCTTTGATCCATTTGGAGTTAGTTTTTGTGTATGGTGTGAGGTATGAATTTTGTTTCATTTTTTCTGCAAACACATATCCAGTTTTGCCAGCACCATTTGTTAAAAAGACTATCTCTTCCCCATTTAATAGACTTCAGTCCTTAATCAAAGATCAGCTGACCATAAGTGGATGGATCTATTTCTGGGTTCTTAATTCTGTTCCACTGGTCTATGTGTCTGTCATTGTACCAACATCAGGCTGTTTTGACTACATGAAACTCTTTTTTTGACTTTTTACAAAAGTAGTCTCATACAATATTTGTCTTCTGTGACTAACTTCACTCAACATAATGGGCTTTAAGTTCATCCACGTTATGAGATGTTTCGCATTAATGGGATTAATCAGTGTTCTTTTAACACTGTGTAGTATTCCACTGTGTGTAGGTATCATAGTTTGTTGATCCATTCCTGTCAATGGGCATTTAGGTTGTTTCCATCTTTCTGCTATTGTGAATAGTGCTGTAATGAACATGCATATATCTGTTTGTGTCATGGCTCTTATTTCGCTAGGATATATACCTAGTAGTATATACCTAGTGGGAGCTCTGGTAGCACAGTGGCTAAGGCACTTGACTGCTAACCAGAAGGCTGGCGGTTCAAACCCACCACCAGCCACTCCTCGGAAGGAAGATGGGGCAATCTACTTCCGTAGTGATACTGCCTCGGAAACCCAAGGAGGGGTCGCTATGAGTCAGGTCCGACTCGATGGCACATAACAACAACAACAACAACAATATATACCTAGTAGTTGGACTGATGCATCATGTGCTATTAATATTTCCAGCTTTTTAAGGAGGTGGCATGCTGTTTTCCACAGTGGTTGTACCATTTTACAGTCCCTCCAGCACTGTATGATGGTTCCAGTCTCTCCACATCCTCGCCAACATTTATTATTTTCTGTCTTGTTGAACTTTGCTACTAGTTCTGGGGCAAGATGGTATCTCATTGTTGTTTTGATTTGCATCTCTCTAATGGCTAATGATCACAAGCATTTCTTCATGTGTTTGTTAGCTGCCTGGATGTCTTTTTGGTGCAGTGTCTGTTCAAGTCCAGAGCCAATGTTTTAATTGGATTATTTGCCATTTAGTTGTTAAGTTATTGAAATTTTTTAAATGTTTTAGAGATCAGTTCCTTATCTGATAGGTGCTTGTCAAAATTTTTTTACCACTGTATAGGTTCTCTTTTTACTCGTTTGGTGAAATCCTTTCATGAATACAAGTGTCTAATTTTTACGAAGTCCCAGTCATTTATTTTGTCTTCTGCTGTTTGTGCGTTTTTAGTTTATCCGACAGCATTTATACCCTGAATTAGGGCCCCTAAGTTTGTCCTCATATTTTATTTGATGGTCTTTATGGTTTCAGGTTCTACATTCAGGTCTTTGATCCGACTTCAGTTCATTTTGGTAAATGGTGTGAGATATGAGTCTGGTTTCATTTTTCTGCAAATAGATACCCAGTTTTGCCAGCACCATTCACTAAAAAGACTACCTCTTCCCCATTTAATGAATTTGGCCCTTTATCAAAGATCAGTTGTTTATAGGAGGATATACTTTTGGGTTCTCAATTCTGTTCCATTGGTCTATGTGTCTGTCATTGTATTAGTACCAGGCTGTTTGAATTACCATGGCTGTAGAGTAGGTTTTGAGATTGGGGATTATGAGGCCTCCTACTTTGTTGTTCTTCTTTTGTTGTTGTTGTTATGTGCCGTCAAGTTGGACCTGACTCACAGCAACCCCTCCTTGGGTTTCCAAGGCACTATCACTATGGAAGTAGATTGCCCCATCTTCCTTCCAAGGAGTGGCTGGTGGGTTTGAACCACCAGCCTTCTGGTTACCAGTCAAGTGCCTTGGGCGCTACGCTACCAGAGCTCCCTCTTCTTCTTTAGTAGTGCTTTACTCATCAGAGTCTCTTTCCTTTCCATATAAAGGTTGTGATTAGTTTATCTGTCTCATTAAAGAAAGATGATAGAATCTGTATCAGGATTGTATTATATCTATAGATCACTTTGGATAGTATTGACACTTTCACATTGTTAAGTATTCCTATCTATGAGCATGGTATAGTTTTCCATTTATGTAGGTTTCTTTTGATATCTTATAATAGTTTCGATGTATAGGTCTTCTGTGTCTCAGGTTACATTTATTCCCAAGTACTTCATCTTTTGGGTGGTTATTGTAAATGGTATTCTTTCCTGATTTCCTTTTCAGAGTTCTCTTCATTAGTACAAAGGAGTCAACTGATTTTTGTATGTTGATCTTTGTTGAAACTATTGATTAGCTCCAGTAACTTTTTTTTTACCACATCTTTGGGATTTTGTATGTGTAAGATCATATCATCTGCAAATAGAGATAGTTTTACTTCTTTGCCAATTCAGATGCCTTTTATTTCCGTTTCTTACCTTATTGCTCTGGCAAGGATTTCCACAGTGAAAGATACTTTTAAGTACAAGTGCAAGTACTGCCAGAGTCCTTTTACACAGTGACTTGGCACTTTTAGTCAAATTGCCACCCCTGGGGAGCAGGAGGCGGACTGCAGTCTCAGGTGATCAAGTTACTTTCACTCTCTAAATATTGATCTGGGGGAATGCTTCAGGTACCCCTAAGAATTTTGCTTTCTCTGTAAGGTGGCTGGGAAGCATTTGTCAAACACTGAACACAGGTATTTGTCTTCTTGTAATCTGCAATCAGGCAGCAGTGGCCATTTTGTTTCAGATGAGTGACAGGATCTAGGAGCTGCTTTGGCAGTCCTCTGACTGGGGGAAGTCAGACATGTGGTCTGAGTCCTTGACATAGACATAGGCAATACTGTAATTATTAAAGCATGGATTTCAGTGTCAGATACACCCATCTAGGTTCAAAATATAGCTCCACTACTTACTAGTTGTGTAATCTTGGACATTTTATTTACTGTTGCTAAGTCTCCATTTTTCTCATCTAGAAAGTCAAGATAATACCTATACCAGAAGTTATCATGGAAGTTAAAAGAGAAAATAAGTATAAAATATTTAGCCCTGTGACTGATACTGAATCATAAATGGTTCCAAGTACTACTCTAGCTGCTACTAAGATCCTAGTTGATTTTCAGTGGTATAGACAGACATCGAGGCAGGCAGACTGGATTCAAACACTGGCTCTGCTAATTACTAGATGGGCAGCTTTTCTCACCATTGGTGGTGCAGTAGTTGCCACTGATTCAGCTCCAACTCATGGCAACCCCGTGTACAACAGAAAAAAATGTTGTCCAGTTCGTCACCATAAAATGGGTATAATGGTAGTAACTTACCTCAAAGGGTGGTTGTGAAGATTCAATGAAGTAATATACATAAGTGCTTAGAATACTTTCTGGTACAAAGTAGGCTGCACATCAGTGCCTGCTATTATTTTATTACATCAAAGGCCAGGTCTGAGAAGAATGCCACATGGATTCTTTATCCAGACCCTTCAGCAGAGCAAGCTATGGCTGTTGCTCCCTCTCTATCACCAGTCAAACCAGCCAAACATCCACTTTTGATGCTTTGCCAATAACTC